TACACGATATTTTTCATGTAAGAGATCGATTTTTGTTTAATATCTAAGCTTATTATTAAAGAATAATTTTGTATTTTGACATACGTTTTTCAAAAACTTGAATGATGTGCTCGATTTGGATAATAATGAAATAAATCAAATTTATCAATTGCAGCAGCCATAGAATGTATCGAATCCGAGACAGGATGCAGGAGATGCAGAGACGGGACGTGTGCCAGATGCGCTGTGTTGTTACATCAGGGTACTTGTGTGCACACCTGCCCATCGGGCTTCGTCGCCGACTGGTCCACCCGGGACGAATACATGGGTCGTGTCTGTCGAGAGACCGGCTACATGTTTGGCCTCACCGGTAGCCAGGTCGCGATTTTGGTAGGGGTGGTCTCCGGTACAACTATCTGTATCTTCATCATCCTCTGCGGCGCGATAGTCGTACATCGACGTAAGAAGAAGGCGGTGAAACTGGCCCAGCAGTTTGAGGACAGGTATTTTTTTCAATTTCTTTTTTACTCTATCACTTAATTACCCGCAGTGATTCATTGAGCGTTCTTGTGCATTTCAGCGCAGAGAGGAGAGAATTTCTGAAACACCTAGCGACGCTCCGTGGAGAGGCCAATACTTTCCTCGCTATGCTCAACGATACTAGAAGACAGGTCAGAGAGTTGTACTACTCGGGAAATAACGGAGATGGTGCCGTCGGAATCCAAGCGTACAGGTAGAAAAATTAGGCCAAATACAGTAGAAAAATTAGGTCATCGCATACTTTTCTAATGTTAATTCGTTGAGAGTCGTTATAACAAAATTATATAATTTGTCAAATATTAAATAAAATATTGTAGAAAAATGTACTAGAAGATTGGACACTTCTAATAGAAATTATGCTAATATGGTTCTGTAATAAATCTCTTTTGAATGTCTCCTTTTTTAATAAAAAATCTATTGAAAATTTAATGAGCTCTTATTAATCTTTATTGATATTGATACAGACCAGTGCTACGTGACCTGGCGAGGATACTGGTTCTCGTGAATAGGAGAGACGATGAGATACCACTTCCGCCCGACGATTGGCAACGATTATTCTCATGGGCAGAGCGGCTGTTGAGAAGATATAAAAGACACAGTTCTCCAGAAGTAAGATTGTTGTTGTTGACAAATATTTCTACTTGAAGTGAAAACGACAAATGAGCGCTATCAATATCATCTCACACTTTCAATTCTTTTTCACGCTAGTCCCTAAAGCACTTTGGTGAGTCACATACCCAGCTGCAAAAAGCATAGCATTATACGAGAATTCCCCGCGTAAAAGCTCCCTTCTCTCTTTCAATGGCAGGCTGTTTTTTTTTTATAAAACATGTATGAAACAACATTGCCGAATTGTATAGCATTCATTACTTTTTTATAATTTAAAGGTGGCTCAGCTCGTGACATTCCTGCAACAGCCGACGAGCAACCCCGTCCAAATGACCTCATTATCGGCGCAACCGGTCACGACGTCGCAGCCACCACTTCATCAACCCGTATACGAACCGAGAAGCACTCCCACTAATCTCACCACATTCCAAGCGAACGTGCCTCTCGCGACGTTCCAAGCGAGTGATAAATCAAGCATCAGTCCAGCGAGTTCGAGCCTCGGCTACACAAAGGACAGCAGTCCCCTCGGTTCGAGTTTGGGTCAAAACAGTGCTTTCGGTATTTACAGCAGTGAAAAGTTCAGCCCGAACGGCTCCACAATCGGTCAAACGACGCCTCTCGTCTACGGAAATAATCTGAAGCGAACAGGATCGAGGGCGACGAGTGACTGTCAAGAATTGCAGACCATCTCTGCGTTTAATCGCAGTTACAATGGCACGCTGCCCTTGGAAACCAACAACATCCGTGCGTTACACGACGAGTGCGCAGTCAACGATGGTCTAGACCGCGACTTGAATCCTCAATGGAAGTTTCAGAGTAGCCCCGTAGAGGCGGCCAATTACACTATTCTGTCGGACTGGTCGCCAGCTCATGATTATCTCATCGACGATTTCACAATTCTCGGTTTTCGGCCGCAGGACGAAATCACTACGGAATTATAGTATCGACTGATAGTAAAATACATAACAAGATCCAAACAAGACTTGTAAAGGAAGAGAGAGTTACAAATGCTTGTGCATTTCAAATATCGTTGTTTAAACAATACTTCAAAAATCCTCAACAATCTTCTTTGACAATCCTGTAACGGTACTTTGCATTGCATTAATGAGATTTATCAATTGTGTTATTCATGAAAAAGGATCGTATGAAATAAATTCTATCTGCTACATTTGGCAATCTATGCGTGTTACTCGATAATGCGATATCGACGATATATTAGATTTGCTTTTTATTGCTGCACTCTTGGAATATATGTATACTTAAAGTAGCATAATATAGCTAATGGACGCTCTTTTAACATATTTCTGTCCTCGTCTATTTATTTTATTGCGATGCGCATGCGTCGATTGTCTACAGTTTTGAAAATTCTTTATTATTATAAAGGTGTGTATCGCGTGTAAAGTTAGGCAACTGTATGCCATTATTATCTAGTCTAGTGCAAGCGCAAACAGATTTTAAATAGATAAGGACAGACATATGTTGGGAATAATTTTGCTATATTATTCAGATTGAATAGCACTTCTAATTTATTCTAGGGCTGCATTGAATTGCAGTGGAACTTTTTTCTTATTTTCGATAAATTTAAACATATATCTGTTTCATTTCAAATCAGTATTCTAGTTTAGCTAAAAAATAAACTCATTTCCTAATTATCGATAATATTGATAAGAAATATTGATTAAGAAATATATGAGTAATAAATAATCCTACGATCAATGAGATACAGACAAATATTGTTAAAACTATGAAGAATTCTCATAAATTAAATCGTAATGAAAAAAACAATCAAAAATTTGCCGTTTGTAAAATTTGTAAACTTGAATTTTCCATTGTTTTCTTCGCTCTAACATGAAATATTGAAAACGAATGATATATTTTTATAAAATCTTGAATTTCTATGAAACAGTATTTATGTTTTAATTAAATTCTACCTTTAAAGAACATATTCAAGTACACTGTGCAATAAGGAAGGTATAATAATACCAAATTGTAAAATTTCTGTACAAATATTGGTCTTTATTTAATTTCTCTGCATCGTACACATCTAATAACAATTATTTTATATTATATAGTGTACTAGTCAATGTTTCCATTTGTTCACATCGAAATGTTGAAGTGTATCTTTGTGACTTTCATACATCCGCATTTACATAGTTATACAATCTTTATTCTCGTGATAAATTTTTAATTATACGCAGGGTGGGAAAGTTATTTTACAAAACCGTTATTGTTCATTTTTTCTGAAGAATAATTCGTTATCATTACTTTTTCGTTGTTTTTTTGAAAAGTAACTTGTCATCATTATCGTTACTCAAAAAGTGATGATTTGTTACAATTTCTGTTATTTTTTCAATGAATTTTGATATTCTTTTTTTTTAGAGTGGCATCCAATCATCTTGATCACTAATTTACTAAGTCAACACGAGATCTACTGGCTATGATGGTTGTGATTAATTGCAACGTGATCAAACATAACAAAATATAACATTTTCTTTTGAAACTCTCTTATGCATGTTTCATATACACATGTATTGTGTATAAAGTAACGATAAAAGTAACGATTACATTCGCTACGTTATAAAAAAGAAATAATTGCGTTATTAACGTTACAAATAAGGAAAATTAACATAATCATTATTGGAAAAAAATAATTTTAACGGTAACGACGTTACAAGTAACGCATTACTTTCCAACCCTGCAAATTTGTATGCAATCATTAATGTCAATGAAGTTGAACATCATACGATTCGCAAGAGTGCGCATTATATTTATTTATACATTGCATTTTAAGAATTCACATTCCACTAAATTTATACCAGCCATAACAGTGCAAACTTGACAACAAAGTGGAAAGAAACGAATCATACAGCTGCAATTTTATTCACATAAACGAATACACATAAACACACTAAACATACGTGTTTAAGTTGAACGTGTCATTATATATACGTATGACCAAAGCGGTCACTTGTACAAATTGATGTAAATACTGAAATGATGTAATTAATATTTTAGTAATAAATGTAAGAAGGTATAAATATATATATATATATATATATACTTTGCCAATTTTTGAGAGTTTAAATTTTCGCATACCTTCAAATTTAATTAAATTAAAATTCTTGGAAATCTCGTAATTATAATCTTTACTTTTCAGCGAGTTCTTAAATGATTCTTAAAATTTTCTCTATTTTTTGAGAATTTGAATTTCTTGAATCCAAGAAATATTCACATTTAAAATTTTCGCAATTATTCTTCGAATTATATCTTCGAAAATTAATTAGTATTATTTCTCAGTTGTTTACATATTTGATTCTTTGCCAATTTCTGAGCGTTTGGGATTAATTAATCTTTAAGAATTAAAATTCTTTTCAATAATTAATTAATATCGTAAATGTGGATAATAACGAATACTATTAATCGGTAAAATTATTATCGGTATTTGTTAGATAATAATTATATACGTTAGTAAAGTAAGAGCTGTCTCACACACACACACACACACACACACTTCCCTAACTTTACTAACGTATATAATTAACATTATCTTATAAATACCGACAAAAATTTAATTATTTCAAAAATATCCGGAGAATATGATCTAGAAGTCGCGCTATTAAAAAATCTAAAAATTTATTTAAAAAGAAAGGTTTATCATCAAGAAGATTATAGGAGGTGATATTTAAAATTCTGAGAATTTCCCAAAATTTTAGAAATTTTTAAGAATTAAAATTCTAGAAATTCGGAACATCGAATTGAAAATCAAGAATTGAAAATTAGCAACACAAAACATCAGGAAATATAAAGCGGACTTGAGTTTTGTGTAAAATTGTGCGAATAGTAAAAGAAGAGAGACTTTACGTGCTTTCGTAATCGTGTGATTTTCCCGCCACCGGAAGCGAGCGAGGCAAGCGCGTGACTGGTAGCTGCGCGCGCAACTTAGGCGAGACGGGAAGGGGCCAACTGGCGCATTTACCTGAAGGAATGCGAGCGGACCGTGCAAGATTTCGTCGGAAAACAGGCCGCATAATTTCTTTTTCGGCACCGCCGGGCCCCCCCGTCGGGCGAAAGTCGCCTAACGGACCGGTCCCGCGACCGTCTACTCGGCGATGCCCCACGCGCGTAAGTTCCTGCGGGGTGGGCGAGGGGCCGCCATGACAGTCGTCGTATTTTCTGTTAACCGCGAGAGCACGTAGACCCCGCTGGGGCGACATTCCCGTGAAATTCTCGTGCGACTTGGCGTCCGTGACAACCGAAAGCGATCGTCCCGCGTCCCGGCTTTGTCGGGCTGACCGTCGCGGTAGTCAAAGAGACGGTAGGCGAGGGCGCGTGGCCATTATCGGATATTTGTTTGTGGGTGCCAGTGGCGAGGTGAGACGCCGGGAGAGGCAGGTAGGCAGGCAGTCAGCAGCGCGAAACGAAGGAACGTGAGGATTTGAGGAACGAACCGAACGAGGAGGAACGAGGAGGAACGAGGAGGAACGAGGCGATGAGGGCGATGAAACGGCCTGTGCGGGCTCCCCACCACCCTTAATCTCCGACGGCTCCCCTTGCCCCTCTCCACCGCTAGCCCTGCCCCTCCCCGCGCGTTCCCTGGATCGGGACGGGCGCGCGTCTCTCCCCCGTCAGCGCGCGCGTGTGTGTGCGTGAGACTTGTGGCAGAGGAGGCGAGGAGGAGGCGGCTCCAGGCCGACGGAGAACGAGATGCGAGAACCGCCGACGGCACCGCGCACCACGTGAGTTGTAATTTGCCCGCGTATATCCATTAGGTAGCCGGGATACCCGGGTACGCCGAACTGTATTGCGTTGCGCCGCGGCGCGCCGCTCCGCGCCGCGCGTCTGTCCGACTTCGTATCCCCCTCGCCCCGAGTCCGCGTAGCACGTCCATCTTGTTGGCCCCTTGTCCCCGTTGCTCTCTGTGACTCTGTGTACGAAGGAGCGAACGCGCCAAAGCCAACCGTTGACGACTACGACGTGCGCGATGTACATCGGTGAACGATACCCGATGAGGGATGTTCGCCGATGGCACGCCGATGGTCGTCGCGGTCGTTGGTACGCGCCCGTTCCTTTCTTCGTCGCGGCCACGGCTGCTTCGGCGGCCGCGCCATTAAAGAGATCCGTCCATTCCGGATCCCGCGTCTTTCGTGTCTCGTCACTCTCGTCTCTTCCCCCTTGTTGTTCTCGTGGCTAAGGGCGTTCTCGGGGTAGAATTTTGTTTCGAGCGTGGAAAAAAAAATGGGAGAGGAATAGAGAGAGATGGAAAGATACGAGAGAGCGGCGGCTAAAAGGAACGTCGAGTCCATCGTTTGGTTGTGGCGCGTACGGCGTACCAAAGGATGACTCACTCTTTCTCGCTCGCGGCCGAGCGATCAGAGCGACGAGCGAAGTCGAGAGAAGAGCGCCGCGAGGTTAAAATGTAATCGTAGTACATCTACGCGGCGTTCCTTCTCGCTCGTCATCGTCGTCGTCATCGCGAATGGCGTCTTCCCGCCCTCGCTCGCTTCACGCGAATGTTTACGCGGACTCGGATTCGGACGCGATCGTGAACGATTACTCGTTCGCGGTTCGCCCGTCGCCTTCGTGGCAACGGCTGACTTTTCGAGGTTAAACGGACGATAGCACGTTTCGCCAGATTTCGAATGACGCAACGGCTGCCGCATATCGGTAATCGCGATGATATAGAACTTTGTCGAGAAAAAGTCACGTACATGGCACGAAACCGCGCTCTGTTATTAGACGTACTATACTTTAAAGCCGCAAATCGTGCAAGGACCAAAGCATTTGTTCCCACGATAGCAATATGGTGCGCATTTTTCATGATATCGTTGTGAATCGATATTACACAACGAAAAGTCGTTACAAATCCAGTACGTTTGCCGTTGCGCATTATACGTTATATTTAATTAACGCGCACTCCGCTTTCGCACGTTAATTAAGCCTGTGTTAAAAGGCCAACGTATTCACTCGTCTGAGATTCTCCCAGATTCCTCAATCGGCTCCTTCGTCTCACCTCGATTCTTGGCTGCTGCGAATAACGTGTGTGTGTTTGTTTATCCGTTACTCGTTAGTAGTATTTTTGACTTAGCAAGTAATGGAGCGATCCTCGAGACTAACCTTACATAATGCATTTTGCAGGATGAAAAATGAAGTATGTCAGACACGTTTAATTAATATTCTTCAGTGAACGAAGATGAATAGTGAGCAGCATGCATTGCCAGCGACTACGCAGGCACAACAAGAGGTGAGATACCTTCCAGTCGCAAAACAGGCTATACACCAAACTACAAATGCGCAAATTACGATTACACAAATGCACTTGTGCTGACTTTAGATATTGAGACATTTGTATAATGAGCTTTATTAATTTACGGATTGTTCACTTTTAGTCTGCGTGCTGGAATGAATTGTGCCAGAGATTAGATTTATAATTTTACAAATTTTCATAGAATTCAAGTTCATATATGACGTTTGGTTATTGTTTGGTTATTGTTTCAACACAATGTTTCATTTACATTTTATTTTACTTACAATTATTTTATCTATGATAAATGCCTTTAGAGTATTAGGTATTTTAACTTTATATGATTACTCTTTAAATTTCTTGGAATAAAATCTGATTCCAAAAGAGTTAAAATACTGCCACTTTGAATAGGAGTCAAAAATTTGCACTCTTGAATAAGAATTTTTACTTCGAATAAGGATTTTTACTTTTTTTTTACTTTTTTTTTTTTTTTGAGCGAATCATTCCAAAGGAAAGAAATCTAACTTTTTTTTTTGGAGTGGATCTCACTTCAAAAGAATGAAAATCTGCCATTCTTATTCAAGAGTGCAAATTTTTACTCTTTCAATAGCGATAGTATCTTGACTCTTTTGGAATAAGATTCCATTTCAAGAAATTTAGAGAATACACAAGTTAAATTGCTGTAATTTATAGTATCCTTAAGTTAGAAATGCTTGTAGCGTACATACATTACATATAAAATTGCTTATGCTTTCTTCTCTACTCTTGTAATTCTAATATTTTGCTTCTCCCGTTGTCTTTATATTTTAACATATTAAGCTCTAACAGATTGCATGTATTTAAGTTCGAAAATGTAATGCGCCTTTACGATTACATCGTTCGGTCTGACATAGGTGTGGATATACAGCGTTTGCCTCAAGATTCACATTCTCTATATAATATACAATAGAAAGACCACTTCGTAGAGTAAATTCATTGATAACGAATATCGATGTCCTTCCTGTTATGAGAGGGGGAGAGGGAGAAGAGAGAAAGAGAGAGTGAGAGAAAAGGGGGAGAGGGAGTGAGAGAGGAAGAGAGAGAGAGAGAGAGAGAGAGAGAGAGAGAGAGAGGTGTCAAAAGTGACGCATTTGTCGATTGGATTTCAGCCTGGTGCATGCCGCTGCATGCTCTATCAATGTTGTACAAATGTTTGAATGTATATCGGTAGGATGTAAACGCGGGTCAAAGTGGTCGTCCTTCATACCCAGGTGGTTTGGCTACTGCGACCGCGAGTCTTGGCAATGTAGGGAGTACTCCCCATTCATCCGCGGACCTGCGTGTAGGTACTGCCGTAGCGTTAGCCTCCTCGGTAGCCTCCTCGGTAGCTAAGTATTGGGTCCTCACCAATCTGTTTTCTCCCGGACCGCTACCTCAAGTTTCGGTCTATCACCATTCCCACCACAACTCCTCGCATAGGAGTGGTGGCGGTGGGGAGACATCATCCTCCAAAGAGCCAGCCTCTTCACTGAACCAGGAAATGGCGTTGACTTCCAGCTCGCACCATCAACAACAGTCAACAGCCGCGCATCATCATCAGCCTTCAGTTAGCAGCAGCAGCAGCCACCACAGTTCTCTGCAGTCGAATCCACAGGTTTGTTAATGTGTAGCGGCACGTGTTTTGTGTTACGACAACAATCTGAATGCGGCTTACAGGTTACTCCGATCTGGAGTAGTTAGATTTATGCTTTTGCAGGAGTTGCGATAACACGCGCCTTTTTTTTTTGTTTTTTTTTTTATGGAGATGCGTGTGAGTAGACGACGCACTGTAGGTGACAATTATAACGGTTGTTGAAAAGTGCTCGAATATTAGCACTTATGTTTCCCTTAATTTTCGTCTCTTTTGTTATTTTACAAGAAATTTTATTTTATTATATTCCATTTTGTACAGTTTGTCACTTTGCGCGCGTACGGAAGCTTTTTAATATTAATTTACTTATTGTCCATAGTTATATGCATATGCAGATTAGATTTATTAATTATTTACTACATATTTGCGTTTAGAAAGCGTTTAGTGGAGAATGCTTGAAAGATTACATATTTTAATATATCAAAAGATTCAGACAAATATAATTCTATATAAACTACTTATTTAAAATTCTTGATTCTTATCGCACAAGTAAAGTGTATCATATAGTTATATATGTAATTATAAATATATATTTTAAGTATTATATTACATAAATATTTTTGTATATGTTTGGCAGATTCCTGTGTCCCTCCCCGGCCTTAATTTAGACGGCGCACATCTACCAGCGAGTGTTAGTCATCTGGCTGCACATGCACAAATGCAACAAATGCAGGCGCAAGCACAGCAGCAGCTGCACCAGCAGCAACAGCAGCAACCGCCGCAGCAACAGCAGCAGCAGCAGCAGTCTCATCATCAAATCCCGAATCATCAGAACACTCAGAACAATGGGCCAACGGCGCATGGCCAGAACGCGCAACGAGACGACAACAAAGTCAAGGATGAAGGCGGTAGTTGCACCACCGAGCGCTGCAGCGATAATCAGGTTCATTGTCAAGTTCAATGCGATCTGCAATTACAACCACCCCAAGATCTTCAACAGAGCTTGATGCAACAGCAGCAGCAGCAGCAGCAACAGCAGCAACAGCAGATTGGAGTCAACATCAGCGGTAACTCCACCACCGAGGGGGGAAACCAGAACAACTCCGAGAAACCCGAAAAAGAGAAGGAATTGCGGCAATTGAATATGACCCAGTATGTGCAAAAACGTTTAATTTTTAATCTTTATTGATATTAGATAAATATAACAATGATATTTCTATAGATTTCAAGTCCCTGACTTGAAACCTGGAGGGCACATGATGGATGTGAGGACAGCAGATGGATCGGTTGTCAAAATTAGCGCAGGAAACGAGCAAGATTTAGCTAAGACTCTTGGCGTCGAAATGGTACAAAATATGTACAAGGTACATGATATTGTGGAAACCATTTTAATAATGTTTGTATCTAAAAATATTGAGAATATTGCATTTGTTCTCTTCGCAGGTTAATGTTGAAGATATTAATCAACTCTTGGCGTATCATGAAGTTTTTGGAAAGCTGCAGAGCGAAATTGCAGCTGGAACGACTTTAGTAGGTAGCACTGTGCCTACGCAAACAGTTACCACGATACAAAATGGCACGCCAATCGTGCAGCAGGTCCAATTGAACAAATTTGACATAAAGTCAAGTGACGGCGAAGCGACACCGGGCCCGAGCGCATCGCCCGTGTCGGTAGGCAGCCACGCTTGTGAGATATGCGGAAAGATCTTCCAATTTCGTTATCAACTCATTGTACATCGCAGATATCATACTGAGAGGAAACCATTCACATGTCAGGTATGCGATGAATCTTTTATGTGTCTAACGATTCATTCAAAATGCATATACAGATCAATATTGAATGTGTGATGATTTCAGGTATGCGGCAAAGCGTTCTCGAATGCGAATGATTTGACACGTCACGGCAAATGTCATCTGGGTGGATCCATGTTTACCTGTACTGTTTGCTTTCACGTCTTTGCGAATGCGCCTTCACTAGAACGTCATATGAAGAGACATGCTACCGATAAACCATACAATTGTACGGTCTGCGGTAAGAGTTTTGCGCGCAAAGAGCATTTGGATAACCATACAAGATGTCATACTGGCGAGACGCCGTATAGGTAAGTCTTTAATCACTCATGATTTATTCAGATGTCAAATATGATAATCAAGATTATTGAATAAATATAGTACATGCAATGACTTCTCAAGAATAAAATTAATAATTACATTAGTTTGTAAAACGCTTTGTGTAAATATATGAAGACTTTAGAATAATTTTTGACGCTGAATCTAAATCTTTCATTGAAATATTTCCCTTAGATCCGGTTTTTGAGATGTAAGAAAAATATTTTTTCCCAATATATAGTGAAGTTTTAAAATTAGAAAACAAAATGTACATTTAATTTTTGTTTTTTAGATTACTTTAAATCAATTTTACACATTAGAATCTAGCAGTTGCTTAGCATTTTTTTGTATCCAATATCTTTAATAACATTTCTTGATCATCAAATTCTAATGGAAATATTTGCCTGCTCATCACTTGTCGCCCAAATTATTCAGAAAGAAATGCTATATTTTAAAAATTACATGCTATATCTTAAAAATCTTAAACTAAAAATTATTTAAAATTTTTTTAACTGATATTATATGCTGATAGTATTGAAAATCATCCATGGATACTAAGGTTAAGTACATAGTTTTCGAGATAACAGAAAAGAATATCATGACATGATTCTTGCAGATGCCAATACTGTTCGAAGACATTTACTCGAAAAGAACATATGGTAAATCATGTTCGCAAACACACTGGTGAGACCCCACATCGATGTGATATTTGCAAGAAGAGCTTTACTCGCAAAGAACACTTTATGAACCATGTTATGTGGCATACAGGAGAAACTCCTCATCATTGTCAAGCTTGCGGCAAGAAGTATACACGCAAAGAGCATCTCGCTAACCACATGCGCTCACATACAAACGACACACCGTTTCGTTGTGAAATATGTGGTAAGTGATATAATTTTCATATTTTCTTATTCGTAATTTAAATGAAAATTTGGAAATTAATCCAAATGAAAAAGGAAGATTTATGCTGTGATATAAAATATGAGTAACGAAGCAAATTACGATGTTTGATGGGACGATTCCAGAAAGGACCCCGCACAAATCTTATGGAAATTAGATTTCGATGGAATTGGCTAAAAATTTGATATGTTGTAGATCTTGTCCTTGATGAAAAGTCTTCACAGGCACGATCTACAATAAACCACATTTGACCTCTACGAAGCATTTTTCAAAAATTGGTTAATATCGCAAAATATAAAGTACAAATTCATATAAAGTGCAAATATTGACATAGAAATACACCATACTTATTGAAAATAAGATATTGTGATATTAGCTAGTTTTTCGAAAAGTAGTCTCATAGAGGTCAAGCGGTTCATATAGGAGGTCGTGCTCTTGTGAAAACTTTTCATCAGGACAAGATCTACAACATATTAAATTTTCAGCCAATTCCATTGAAATCCAATTTCCATAAGATTTATGTGGATTCCTTTTCTCAATTAACGTGATTGATGATCTTTCTCTAAACTTCCCCCGAGATAATATATTTTTTAATTGAAAATATATTTTAGGAAATTTAAATAAAAATAAATCGAAAGAATAATAACCTAGCAATTGCAATGTGATAATATACATTCAAATTGTTGGCATGTTGAAAAAATAATATTTTGACTTTTCTCGATTCTTATATTTGACATTTTTTAAAATCAAAATACAGATATTATCTTTATAATCATTTATATTACAGTTGAAATGAAACTAGATAATCCAATATTTTTTAACATTATTAATAACGTTTGACTATATTATTGCACAGATCTTTGCGCTTGCCATCTTGTATTTACTTATTTATTCTTTATTCAGATATGTGTTAATATTTGGTTTTCGTTTCATCATGAATGTAATAAACTTTCTATAATAAGCTGTTACTTAAGTTTTAAATCTTAAACTATAAGAAATTGACCAATCATATTCTTCTCAAATTTTGTTGAATGGTTAATTTCTTATGATTTCAAACTCAAAGTTTAAGGCTTAGGTAATGGCTTAATATATTTACGACGTAAAGTTAGCAATTTATCAAATTGATTGTGAATTATTTCACGGTATGAAAAGCAATAATCAATGGCTTGCGTTTAACAGAGAAAACAGTTTTGCGACTATTATAAAATTCTTTAATGTAATTGGTTCTTATGGCTCTAAATGTATAAACCAATCATATTCAAGAATTTTACAATAGTTTTAAAGCTGTTTTTTCTGCTGAATGCATATTGATTATCGATAGAATGTTATTGCCAAGTTTTATTACGAAAGATGAATTTAATAAGATATGATTAATACAGATTTAAAATTGAAGCATTACAAGGTAAGTATGATATTATTTAATAATATTATCTAACAAAATATATTTGTATTCCATAATATAATCTATCTTTAATTATTAAAGTGGCAAATAAGAAATTTTTTATTACAAAAAAAATTATTTCAAAATTAAATTACGGTTCATTCTAAATGCAGCCTTTATTTTATTTTTACACAATAAATAGCGACAGTAACGCAATTATTCAGATTCTAACCAATCACATTAAATTGGCAAATAAATTAAAAATGTGTAAAGTAACTGTAAAGATAACTTAAATTAGTTACTTGTTATTAAAAGAAATGTAATTAAGCTAAGTTAAAGTTACAGCTGAAAAAAAAACGAAGGTAAGTTAAAGTTACTGAAAAAAGTAACTTTGCACAGAAAAAAAAATTACTAAATTTTAATAAATATTTGTTTCAATAATACTAACGAAATATGTACTAAATGTAAACATATTTTTAAATAAATATGTTTATTTACTGTAAATATTTAGTACTATCGAAACAAATATTTATTAAAATTCAGCAATTTTTTTTCAGTGTAACTGTAACTCAGTTACAAATAACTAGGTGCTTTCCAATCTTACTAATGTTATGTCAGAAAACGTAGGATTTTTAAGAGGGGAATTCAAGCAACTTGAATTAAATAAAAATAATTCTTTAATTCTAACTTTTAAAGCCATAAAGGTCTATTCTTGTTCCATCCAAGAACAAGTGCAATAAGTTAGAGACAGCTATAAAATTTGTTTTACTCTAACTTATTGTATTATTTCAGAACTAGTTTAGAATTCTTCGAAAAAGAACAAATCTATATACTAATTTTAGTATAATAAATATAGTTGCTACAATTTTCACATACAGGCATGAAAAGGATTTTTAATTTACGCTTTTTAATTTACGTTTGCGTTGAAAAACTGATACAGTGTGTACATTTTTTCAGAGAACGCATTGTAAGCTTCGAAGTACTAATATTTCTTTTATTACTGTATATATATATATATATTTTTTTGCAATCCCAAACTGTCAATATTTGAATGCATCTCTACCAATATTAATTAATAAAACAATATTCTATTTAGAGATACACAATCTATCAGATTTGATCATTTGGTGTAAGCATCGAGGAAAGTTGTACATCTCTGAAATTTTTTGAACTTATCTTGAACATGCATTTGTCGAATATGCGATATTCCCGAGGTGTAAAAGAAAAAAAATCGAAAAAAGGAATAGAGAAATCGACACTGCCATGATCCGGCGTCGGTGGTAGACGTCACGCGATCGATGAGATTTGACAAGTCTCTCTCTCTCTCTCTCTCACACACACACACACACTCACACTCACTCACTCACTCTCAAGTCGAGCGCGCATTCGGTAAAATTGATGTGACGCGGACGTGGACGTGGACGCGGACCGGGATGTCGAATGCGCACCGCGCACGTGACGTATATATGTGTACACACGTACACACGTATGTGTGCGTGCAGCCCGCAGCCGCTGCCTCTGCCGCGGCGGTGAAATAAAATTCGCGAGAATTGATCGCGCATCGTGAGTAAACCGCCCGCCCCTTCCTCGCCCGGTCGGTCGGTCGGCCGACCGCGGAGTGCAAGTCGTGCGCATTCCTTCACGGAGGCGAGGAGGCGCCCCTCTAACCTTAGAGAGCCGCGTCGCGTTGCGTCGCATCGCGTCGCGCCGCGCTGCGTCGCGTCGCGTCGCGTCGCGTCGCGTCGGTGCGCTTGCCCTCGTCCGCTCGCTCGCCCGACTGCCGACGGGGGAAAACCCCTTTCTTCCTTCCTCAGTCCTCGGGAATCGTGCGAGACTCCAACCTGCCGGTCGGTTCTCTATAAGAGGCCCTTTATTTCTCATTCAACGTCTGATCATGAACTGTGATGGCATGACTTGCTATTTCGTAAATTTAAGCGGTTTGTACGAGATTTTTCCTGCTGCTTCTCTAACACCTTGTCATTTAATTCGCTCGCTCGCATGTTCGACCACCCGAGCCGCTTCTCCGATACGTCACGTTTTGCGTGTGCCATTTTTATCGGCGATACGACGGAATTAATTCCGTCTTCGGTAAATCGTTGATTCTTATAATTTTCTTGTGCAGCGTCGGAAATCGAGCTTGATTGCACAATGCGATTTTCTTACGTCCGAATCAAAATTACGATAAATGTCCGCAAAGTGTCATATATCGTTGAATTGTGTTGGGGAAAAAAAAATGTTCAACTCTCTCTTTTTTTTTTTGTATCATACACGGCGAAGTCTGTCGATTTCATGCGTTCTTTGTTGTAACGAATGTTGTAGCGAATCGGATATTTGGCTGCAAAATGTAATGTTTCAAGATTATATAGTACGAATTGTCAGATGCATGCCAAATCAGTCAATTACGTTTTGCGTTGATCACACTTGTGCCTCACGCAATTGCAGATGAATCAAGTAAAGATTCTGTCGCGTGTTCACCATAAAGTATTGCGAATTCGAAATTTGTATTTTTGTTCGAACGGGGTCGCAAGCATGCGCGCCGATCTATACATGTCACGTGACACGTGTATACATACAAGCGCGCGTTGATCGGTCCGACGTTTTGTTTTTCAAAATGAGGGAAACCTGCGCACTAAACTATTGTTCAATTTTCATTTTTTCGGAGCGCACGCGTTTCGCGAGACTTCGGGGCTGCGCACTGTCAAAGAAAAAGAAACAGAACACAAAACATAATATAAATTTCAACTTATCAAAAATCATATACTGTGGAATATATTGGGTCATCTAAAATATATGACCATCAACATACATCTAGTGACAAAAAACCGCGGATACTTTTTAGATGACCCAATATATTTTCTGATAGGTTGAAACTTTTGGTCTTCGTTTCCTGTTCTCTATTCCTTTGATTGTCCGCAGCCTCTTTCGAATCCGTGGATTTGGAACAAAAGAAATCAGGAGATTCTTAATTTATTATAAATAAAATGACAAATCAGACGTGTGCAGGGATGGGGTCCGTTGACTTGTGTATAAGAAAAGGTTAGATTAACTTACTGTACCGCACGTATAAATATTCCATTACAATTTAAATCTAACAAAATATACTTCATATTTAATATCTCTATATTAAAATCAGAACTAAAATAATATTTATATTTGTATTTCTGCAACAACATTTTGCTATTTAATCATTACGAAATAACTTTGAAAAATACTTTTACTTTAAGAAGTACACATCTACTACCTGATTTTTATTTTTATTACTTTTCTACTACGTTTTTGTTAATTTAGTACGAAGTTTATTTTATAGACAACTTATACCGTAACATGTAACTAATTTATTTTATATCAGTTACTACAATGCAGCATGTTCGTATTTAATTTATTGCAAAGAAATTATACAGTTTATAGAACCATTACTGAAAATGTAGAGAAAGGTTCTCTCAATCATATTAGTATTATATTTTAAGCGTAATAATTAATTGTTTAAAAAATCTAATGTCGAAATTGTGAAAACTGTGCCAACAAGCTTCAGTCTTCCCTACCGAATATTACCAAGTATATACATGCCATTATTTTTGTTTAAAATCAATAATATTATCTTTTGCTTATTCAGATGAAACAAACTGCATATACACGGAGATAATGAATTAGACCGATCAGAATATAATGAATTAGAAACAATTTCTTCAAAAAACTTAAACTTTTCTTCAAACTTTGTCTTTCTGTTTTTTTCTAAAATAGAGAAATTTACTTTTGGACTAATCTTCGTACATGAAAATTTACAGTTTTATTTTTCGAAGGATTTGGCTTAACGTGATTTGACGGAAATTACTCGATAAGTACGTTAGTTTTTGTACGCCCCCTTTACATTGCAAGAGTGTTAAAATTTAAACTTGTAAAGCTTCTTTTTCTATCTTATATTATTTTATTTATAAACGGATCGACCTTTTAGTTTCTGATCTGATAGAGTATAAGTCAAGAATGACAGTCACAGTCCTCCAAAAGTATGTCTTCTGAGGATTACTAATATAATGAAAGATATTTGCGAACTACCACGTGTCTTGGAATCGTCCCAATCATCAGCGATTTGTGATGTGTGTCTATGATATATAAAATAAAACGCCTCCCTCTGGTATTGCAATCTAATGAAGCGCACCTGTTTTCGATGCTTTTTTTCTGTTCAACGCTGCGATATGCAGGTAAGTCATTTACGAGGAAGGAGCACTTCACGAACCACATAATGTGGCATACGGGCGAGACGCCGCACCGCTGTGATTTCTGCTCGAAGACGTTCACGCGAAAGGAACATCTCCTGAACCACGTTCGCCAGCACACGGGTGAGTCTCCACACCGATGCGGCTTCTGCTCCAAATCGTTCACCAGAAAGGAACACCTTGTTAACCACATCCGCCAACACACAGGTGAGAGCGGTTGGCAGATGTTCACTTCACGGGCAACCGATATAATCATTGTTAAGAGTATCTATATTAAAAGTAGTTGTGTTTCGTGACCTATTTATATACATATTTACATATATGGCATTGAGAGAGAAAACAGAATTCAGAATTTATCTTACCTTTTTTTTCTTTTTTTTTTTCTTTTCTTTAGAGGTTAATAAGAGATCGATATTGTAGAGGAACTCTATGAGAATAGTCAGTCACACTTCGTATAAAATCTAACAGCGCATTTAGGTTCGATCGAACGCGAGTCGAGACACGCATCTTTCCACACGCTTCCGGTTTCACACATCTGGCTTTACACACAGGCTGTTTTAGTTCTACTGGATTCACTGGCTTTAACAGCGCGATCTTTGACTTGAGCTCTTCGATTTTCTTTGACATAAAATATGTAATGAGATCGTTACGTGTCTCTGAAATAAAAACGTAAGTTTGACAATTACCACTCTACTTAAAATTAAACCAATAAATATGTACAAAAGATAACAAAAGCGAAATTATTTATTTCAGATTCTAAAATTTACATTACAGAAAATATCCTTTATTCTTATTCGCTTGTAACTCGAAAATCTCGACATTTATTTGAATATCAGAACTGTCGTCTTTATTTAAAAGATAGTATCGTTAACGATTGATCCACTAGAAGTGGGACACCCTGTATGTGTACGTTGGCGCATTCAGCTGAGGATTGGACACTTGCATGAGAATTGATTTTTTTATTTAGACGGGATCGCCATAAAGTTTCACTCACTCATTCTCAGTTGCCACGCGTCTCTCATCATTGTACACCATGTTTATACCTAACCGAATATCACAAAACTCTACTTCATTACCGAATTCCCCAGGAACATTTGCTGCAGTTCTGCCTAATACACCGCTCTCATTACTATGTCTCCTATTAACTTGAACAGTACTCATTTATAAATGTTCACAGCTTTTATTCCGCATACCCGACCAAGTTGCCAAACGAATTTTGTATCTAATACCGTTGGAGACTTGTAAATAATTCCATAGCTTGTAACTTTCTCATTGTCGTGGGTGGCACAAGTCTCGAACTTCGTTTTAGTTCAAATATAGTTAAATAGAATGTCAATTAGATTATAGATGTGAGATTCTAGAGAGAAATTGACACGTACTTGCTTTTAATAAATCGCGAAATAGAGTTTCATGCTTAAAGTCATAGTAGTGTGATAGTATTTCAGTATTTGATATACAAAATTAGAGAGTATTATATCCAGAGTACACTAGTAGTATATTACTGTACAAGCTGACTTTTCTTCGATGTAACGTAAATACACGGCACGATACCGGCTATAAAATAACACAAAATATTTCCCGTGAGTTGTAATAATAGATACAATAATTTGTGCGATACTAGACAGATCTTAAATAATTATGTTGATGATAGATTAAAATCTGAAATTTGTTTTTAATTTATTAAAAGAGAATGAGACAAACAACTTTTTAACTGGTTCTTTGCAGATAATCTTCATTATCCAGTTTTAGAACGAGTATATATTGTATATTAACTTCGATATACAAAAATATACATTTTATGTATTTAAAACGTAAATTTGATTTTTACTTTTTTTTTAACTATATTGAAATTTTTATCCGATTTGATGTGATATTGTGCCTTCTCTGCGCGTTGCGTCAGGTAAAACTCGCCTTGTGCAGGATTACTGAATTCTGAGTGACGAATATTTCTCAAACATTGCGAATTTGCTTGTAAAATATGTACAGGGGAGACGCCCTTCCGCTGTTCATACTGTCCGAAAGCATTTACGCGGAAGGATCACCTGGTGAATCACGTCAGGCAGCACACGGGTGAGTCACCGCACAAGTGCCAGTATTGCACCAAATCCTTCACGCGGAAGGAACATTTGACCAATCACGTGCGTCAACACACAGGCGAATCGCCACACCGATGTCACTTCTGCTCCAAGTCATTTACTCGTAAGGAGCATTTAACGAATCATGTGCGCATCCACACTGGCGAATCTCCACATAGGTGTGAGTTTTGCCAAAGGACGTTCACTAGGAAAGAACATCTAAATAACCATCTCCGTCAACATACTGGAGATTCCTCACACTGTTGCAACGTGTGCTCCAAACCATTCACAAGAAAGGTACACTTTGACTTTTTTTAAAGAGAGAAAGTAAATTCCGTCTTGAAATATTTATTAACAATAAAATATTGATTTTTTTTTAATATAATAATATTTTTATAGACATAAAATAGGTCTTAATCGCATCTCTCTTTCTTTTTATCAAATTTCTGTAATCGTAGATAGATAACATTCGTCATGTCTTTTTCTTAATTTGCTGTTACAGGAACATCTCGTGAATCATATGCGTTGCCATACTGGTGAACGTCCATTCGTGTGCACAGAATGTGGCAAGAGTTTCCCATTGAAGGGCAATCTTCTCTTTCATATGCGCTCGCACAATAAGGGCAGCAATGCCGAAAGACCATTTCGCTGCGATCTGTGCCCTAAAGATTTCATGTGCAAAGGACACTTGGTCTCGCATCGGCGTTCGCATTCAGACGAGCGGCCGCACAGTTGTCCGGATTGTGGGAAGACCTTTGTTGAGAAGGGCAATATGCTGCGACATTTGCGCAAGCACGCGGCTGAAGGCCCGCCGACACAAGTTAGCACACCATCGGCTATACCGCAATCCGGTGTACTGCCGATACCGGCAGCGGCAGCAGTTCTAGTCGGACATCCCTTAGCACCGCCGGCACCGCCTGTGGTGCCGCAACACACGGTGGTTGTGCCGACACCGCCCGGTGTATTAACATCGTATTAGATCATATAAGATGAAAAAGAGAGGAGGAAGGGGGGGAGAGAAGAAAAAAAACAGACGAAAAAAAAACTAAAAATAAGAAATGAGAAAAAAGGAAGCATTTGAAGATGATACATGCTGTGTATACTTAATATATGATTGCATCGAAGAAATGTGAAGATTGTACGCCATTCATCATTTTCTTAAGGACCTGAATTATAATGGATTTATTATCCATTTGACTCAATGGGATTCACGTACTGCTCACGTGCTGCTCGTGATGTCAAAAAAAAAATGGAAAAAAAAACTGCGACCATCTTTGTTTCATAAAATTCGCAGTGAACTTTGTTCAGGACGATGTAGATTGCTCGTGATATGCGTATAAAATACGCATTAGAACATTGACTGTTCTTTGTGACAACGGCGATTATTATCCAAAGTTTGGTTTTGCTTCGTTCATGCTTGTACTTGATAAGTCGATTGTGGTAACGAACATATAATTATTTGTTTCAAATTTGTGCAAGAAGAATATTAGTATATCAGAATTATATGACTATATGAGGAACTTGTAATAATTCTTCGTTATATTTTAATAATCTTATAATTTTAAAAGAGGCACTAATTATATAATGTCAATGATGTCTCGGATTATGTTTATACGTTATCTTCATGTGAGAAGTATGTCTATGCATTCGTCAATTAATGTTTTCGGCAGGGTTGGCAGGAATCGGATAGTGTTGTTTTAACCAGTGGTTTTAATCGTTTCGATCAGAATCAATGTTGAACATCTGGTAAAAAATTTAAAAATAATATTTTATTCTATATTTGACAATGGAACTTTAGAGATCTAGGTCACGTTAGGCGGTCACGATCTAGGCGGCTGTTATAGCCCCACCTGCATTACTACTATTACTACTTATTCTGCATTACTGTTATTAACACAGTTTTAACTCGGTCTAGAATTAAGACTGAGATAAAAGAATAAAAATTAGATCAAATAGAGCACGAGCGTGGCATAGTAGGTAGCGCGAGACTGCTATGCCAGAGATCTCGGAGTCGATCCCAGGCAGATTCAAGAAATTTTCACGCGCTCGTAGCTCCTCTTCGGTGGTTTGGCAAACCACCAAGAGTATCTATTGCCAAGAAAACCTCTCAAAACTGTCGGAATCGGCAGTTAAATTGTAGATCCCGTATGGCTCTGTGTGCAACCTGCGTGCGCACCATATGTATGAGAGATAGGCGTGGTCTCGACTTGGGATGTTGCGCCATTAGATTGGAATATCGTAATAAGCTTAAACAAAACATTTCTTATCGCATACATAAAGGATATAAACAATATAAGAAAAAAAATATTTTTTAATTATTAAATTATTCTTTTTTAGTGATTAAAGTAAATTTGCACTTTTAAAACATTGCATTTCAGTACTAAATTACTAAAACGAATAAAATATATTTTAACTAAAAAGTAATATTTTTTTATTTGTATATTGTTTATATTTTTTACATATGCAATAAAAATGTTTGTTTAAACTTATTACATAATATATTATATATAATATACAATAAAATTTTCTAACTTATTTTGATCTAATTTTTATTCTTTCATCTCTATATTAATTCTAGGCTGAATTAACTTAAAAAAACTTAATAACAGTAATGCAGGATAAAATATTATTTTTAAATTTTTGCTTTTTATATTTAAAATTTAATACATTGTTAACAATTTTGGGGATTAGCTGTGTAACGCACACCGTGAGAGCACTGGTACTACAGATATCAGCGCTTTTAGAGAGGTAGGAAGAAAAAAAAATTAAAGTTGGAAAAAATGGAAACTGTCGAAGTATATGAAGCAACCTCTAATGAGTTTGCAATAATAAAAAGTTCTAAAAAGCAAAAATACATTTTGACTGGTTAAAATCAGTTTTAATCACTGGCCAGGTTGAAACAAAAAAAAAGGTGGTCTTTTTGCCAACCCTGGTTTTCGGTGACACGTATAGTGGTGTCGGGCAAAATATATTTACGAGTTTGAATAATGACTTTGAATATATATTTTCCTGTGAAAATATGTATTCGAATTAGTAAAAAAATCATTGTTTGTAAATTTATTTTAGTCGATATTGATATGGAATATCAAATGGAATAGTCGATATGACATGTAAACGGTTATTCATGCAAAGGCGAATGTAGTGAAGTTTAGCCATAATTATAGTCATACCTTTATTTTGCATTAATACTAACAAATTACTATTAAAGACTGCTAGTTTTGGATAATTTTTTTGTAATTGAAGAGTAAATATTGATTGTTTTTACACTATTGAATTTGCAATTTATAAATAAGCGCATTTTTGTTCTAACGCAATAATATAATGCTGAAAAATTGCATTTCTATTTCATAGTTATTCGCATAGATAATCAAACATAGAATGTGTGAACATCTGAAACATTAGGGGATTACGGTAAATTATAAAATTAATATTATCTTATAAATTGTCTAAATTTTCGTAGCCGAGTGAATGTTAATTATATGAATTGTCTGTCTTTAATCAGTCTTTAAAAGTACATTGTTAGTTGCATTAATTGACTTCCATGTAATTTTTGTATGAAAGTGTATTATTGCTTTCATAAGACCTTTCATTCGATCCGGAGTGGTATTTCGAATTGTATTTTTATATTTGCACAGATATACAATCCTTATATAAAATATTAACAAATAAATGATATATATGCATCTGGCATCTGCTGTGATTGCTTGTTTGCGGTTATAGTAATCAATGCTAAAATGTTTTTGAAGTTTATTTCTCACAAGAAAAAACTTATATATTCACTCGTACGATTTTGAAGTTCTAAACTGATTGTTTATTGTCTAAATATATTGATGTATAAGAAAATAGCAAGCGTATAGATCTTATTATTATTAAAATATTGTGAAATTATAATATTGGGACAGAGCAAAAAAATTGTATTCTAAAAAATGCATTTTGACTTGAAAATGCGATATGCAGTGAGGGGCAAAAGCTCTATAATGGCTAAATATTTCGGAAAGTATGCATTTTTTCATTACATCTTTCAATTTTTCATTACATATTCTTGTAACTTATCTCTTTTGAAAAAAAAAATATTTTTTCATTAAGTACTGTTTTAAGTTATAAGGCTTGAAAGTTACAGTACTGCTGGCATTAACATTATCTAAGATGTCCAATTTATAATTAAAATCTTTCGAATGTTGTTCAAGGTCATATTCTTGATATCATATGTCAAAATCAGGCCTTTAGAGGTTGTTTCTAATAAGAGGAAGAACTTTCAAAGGCCTTGATTTTGGCAAATGTTATTAAGTACATGACCCTGAACAACATTTAAAAATTGAGATTTCCATTTTAAAAATTCGACCTATCTTGGTGATTTTTCTAAAAAATGAATACTTTCCGAGATATTCAGCCGTTCCAGGATTTTTCTTCTTTACTGTATAAATGCTTACATATCCAAGTTTACTTAAGCGTTATTTCACTATGATTTTTAGTTTTAGTTATTACAATTGAGTGCAATATGGCTCAGTCGCATTTTGTTTAAGGAGATATAAACAATTGCAAACGAATACCACTGATGCCGGATCTTCCCGGTAAACTTGCAGATAAATAAAAAGATAAAATTGATATATGTAAGTCGAATTTCACGCGTTACCCAGAGTAAATTTTTTCACATTTTAAATTTCGTTATTAAATTTAATTATTTTTAGATAATTCTTTTTGTACCATCTTTCGAGAAGAGAGGAACACTTATCACTGTAGCAATCATCCTGTAAGGCCATATATTTCGTATTTACCGTTAAGATTAAAGTAAAGAGAGATAAATAAGTGTGGCAGCGTGGTGAACGATTATGCGTGTGTGTATCGAATCTCACAAATTTCAATCGGATTCGGTCATGCAAAGCGATATAAGAACGAACAGAAAATCGCATCCGATCATCTCGCCGTCGCGTTTGCGTTAAATATATAATTATGTATAATATTAATAGTACCTATCAAATAGGCATTATATAAAGAGGATGACAAATTTATTAACGCGTGTGCGTCACGCGTGACCCGCGTGCGGCGAAAGTTGTTCGCAAGTCGGTAGAAATTTAGATACATATTATATATAATGAATATATATATATATATATAAATATATATAAAATAAGCATTGAGAAATACAGTTAGAGATATCATATTTACTATTTAAAGTAACGAACAGTGAAAAATTTCAGTGTATTGCAGGGTCATCTTATACATGAAATACCGTGCGGAATTTACCTACATTTATGCATAGACCTTTGTTATATTCTCGAGGAAAAAAAAAGTAAAAGAGATGAGGGCGATAATAAATAAGCATAGATACAAAGAAAAAGAGAACACGCGAATCATCGCGAACTTATCCACTTTGGGATGGACAAATATATATGTATAATATATATATTGCTTTCGTGCTTATATACATTATGTATATATACTCTGTAACATACACAAGTGACTCGCCGGGGAAAAACAATCAGATTCATTTTTTCCTCAAAGGCAGAAAACATATTTCCCGACGAAACACACACACGTGTAAAGAGAAAAGAAAAGATAAAGAAAGAAGAAGGAATTTCTTTGGTCTATACATCCCACAACATTGCTAAGAAGAACATGTAACAAGGAATAAATAGAAATAATGTTTATATGAATTATTATGATTATTAATAATGATAACTATCATACGTTACAAGGATAAAAACTAAGAGTTGATTCATGCTTTTAAGAGGTTTAGTTTCGTGCTTGTTTAAAGATAAAAATAAAAGAAGATTAATGGCAAGCAGTCAAGATCTAAGCGTTCGACGTTTTGGATCGAAGCGAGCTCACGCGTACACGATGTCAGCGTTATTGGCGGTGTTTTGGGCATCATTATTCTCTGCCGTCTTTTCGCGACATCGCACTTAGAGTCGCAGTGCAACATATGCGTCTGCAATGCACGAACGTAGTAATAGCTCGCGCTTCGACTCAGAGCGAGAAAAACGTGGTGATGGAAAAAAAAAAGATTAAAAAAAATATTATTTACTTTAGATAGAACAAAAATATGTATAGAATTTTATTATGCACCATTGTAATATTATGTATCCCAGTTGTGACACAATATACACTGGTGTTATGTTAAATGTGGAAATTGCGCGTATCAATTTTCTTTTGTTTTTGTGTTCCCCAGTGCTGTCTTATCGTACTAACGACACTTGATATTTCGTTAAATTAATTAAATTTTATTTTCATCTAACGTCCACGCAAGTAAAAAATCATCGAGCCTATTTGATAAACAATAAATATATTAAAGAGCATGTAAAAGTCTAGATTTCAAATTTTGTGTTAAGAAAAATGAAGAACATATTACATAATGAACACTATTATATTTTATAATCAATTAAAAATATTACATGTTTCGGCCTTTCGATTAGGCCTTCTTCAGTTATACAATAATAAAAACGCAGTAATGTTACCAATATATAATCGTATTACTAAAGTTGAAATTTGTATAAAAAGACCAGTTATAAACTCCACGGCGGAATGGAAATTGCTCGTCAAAAGGTCGGACGACCGATTGAAAAGAATTTGTTGGTGTTCTAGAAAAGTGGTCAATTTAATTGATTGTCTGAAGTTAAAAAACGAGCAAAGTCTATTTAAAAAGTATTGTGATAAAGAAAATAAAAAAAAAGGTTTGTGTACACACACACACACACACACACACACACACACACACACATGGAAAAAACGTGTGTTTCTTATTTTAAGAATTAATGTTACATCTTACAAATTTCTGTAGAAAAAGTTATTGCGATCGCTTTTCTTAAACATGTAACACTGCTGGAAAGACGAATTCTGCAGCGCCGTGTAAGTAATAGGATAGTTGTAGATTAGACTCCGTTGCTCCTCTTGTTTCCGAAATTCGTTAAAATTTTTACGAGCTGTACGAAGAAAATCAATTTCATTCTTTTTGACGCGAAACAAAAATTGACAATGTTGATTGTTAGTATTTTTACTTACCCTCGTTAACGAAAAAGTTGGCGAAATATTGAGATGCTATAGTAGCATTGATTGAGTGAGGAATTCTCTTCCCGATCACCCATTCGTAAAGATTCTTTTCCGGATGGAATTGCAATCCGTAAAACGGGAACTGCTTATGTTCCAATGTGGAAATGAATTCCAAACCATTTTCATCATGATTTAGTGACAACACGTGAAATTCATCAGTTAAATTGACATGACGTAAAGCCTAAAGAATAGAAAAACAATATTTATACTTAATATTACATTAATTCTTCATATAATTTATAATTTGTCATATATAATTATTTTTCTTAATTTCACTCTTAACTAATAATTTTTAAGAAAACACCTTTTTCGTGACGCATAAGTGATGATAATTCGCCGTGACGTTCTGCTCAGACAAAACCCTTAAAACATTCAGTGGCGCATTTTTAAACAATTTGCTTTCTCTATAACCTGAAAAAAATTTATATTTCTTGAAGAAACGGATTCGGATAAAGAAGCAATTTTCGTTAATCAGAAATTTTTTTTTTTTTAACGATGATCTGGAATGTTCTTTTACATCTCAAGTAAATTATTAAGTATTATTAATTACATTTTGTATTATTATTAATTGTTTTATAATTTATTATCATATCATTACATACGCGCGCGTGTACACGTAGATTTTACTCAATATTTTAAGAACAAATGAAACAATATAAGCAATGAGAGTTCATTGTGTGATACTTGAAGCGCAATTATAAATCAATTATTTTAATTTATTAAACATTACAGTTTTTTTCAGAACAGACATTTCGGATCATCCTCAGCAATAATGTAGACTAGGCCTGTCCAATTTGAGCTCTGGAGCCAAAACGCAAAGCCATCGACGCAAAAAATTTAATGTAGGTAAGGTTTTATTTACTCAGCCGATTAATTGCGTCTGACGTTTACAAATGCGGAACGTAACCCGATGAACGCTCTCACGTTCTCGCATATTTTCAACAAAAATAGGAAATCGTTGAAAAAAGTATTTACCAGGTGTGAATTCTAGTGGAAGGCGCTGATTGTTACTGGAACATTGCGTTCTGTGCGCGACGCGATTCGCGGCGACATATGTCAAGAGTTCAAAGCCAAGGCAGATACCAAATATTGGGAAGTACTTGCCTTCTTCGTTGATTCTCTTTGCGATTCTATCGACAAACAAGCAAAAAAAAATACGTATATCTGAATGATTGGAATCTTTCAGTGCATTATCATTGTCCTTTTATTTTATAATTACCTATAAATCTTGGCGCCTGCATCAGCATATCCTTCCTTCTGAGAGAAATACGTCGATCCTCCCGGCCAGAGAACCCTGTATAGAAAAAAATATTGCGATAATTATATGTACTTAATAGTGTTTTAAAAGTAGTAGAATATTATATACCCATTGACTTTGCTCAAGATGTCTTTGTAGTACAACGTGTTTCCACCAATCCTATACAAAGTTATGATACTTTAATCTGTTACATAATTATTATAAATATCAAGATATTTTCTATAGCTACGAATAGGTTGGGAAAAGTAATCAGCTCGTTATTTGTAATGAAGTTACTGTTACTTTTTTAATAATTTAACATCGTTTCTTTCTTTTTTTATTTATAACATAACTCTAACTTAATTTAGGCTTCTATTCTGTAACTCTTACTGACAGCCTCGTATAAAGGAACAATTGAGAACTATTAAGAAATATAATTATTCAATCAATGACATTACGGGAGATTATTGTTCATTATTATTATTAGAAACATAAATAGCTTACTATTGGAGCGAATAGTAACTATACATGAAGAAAATTTTCTTTTAAAATTTATTCTGAAAACATAACAGTTGTAGTACAATACAATTTTAAAGATTTTTATCATGCACTTCAGTAAAATTAATCTAAACTTATTTTATGCTTTATTGTAGTTTTAATGAATGAGAGAGATTTATATTAAAATTCTTCGAAATACAATGTTGTCCCACGTCTATCATATTTTCAGAGTAAACTCTAAGAAAAAATTCTCTGCATAACTATACATATGTATAGTATATGCATACATTTTCAAGTTCTACTGTATAATGACAAGGGAAAAGTATATAATAACAAAAATTTCTGTGATTACCAAATCGGTACGGCTCGAGCGCCAGCACCTTCCACGAATTTCACGTACGATGCAGCGATGTAGCTGTGATACTGATTAGGGTACGTTTTATTTAAGTTATAACTTATTTCCTGCGTCAGAATACCTTAAAGAAACATACGCACAAATTATTGCCATGACAATCACTTTGGATAATATTGTTTCAAGAAAAATCGATTATCTATAAGATGAGTAAGCAATTCGAGTTCTCAAAATATTTGAAAATATATTCTGAAAGGTTTAAAAAGAGTTAAAAATGAAACAAAATTTCAATTTTTTAAAGCCAAAAAGAATACCTTCTTAAATCAATTGTTAATCAAATTATCTTTAATTGAATTTGCTCATATCAATTGTCAATTAAACGACTTTCGATTAAATCTCCTCGAATCAATCGGGCGATCTTCGATTAATTTGGCTTAAATCAATCATCGAATTATTTTCAATGTTATATGAAGTTTGTTGCATTGCTATATTATAAACAAATATTGAATATCGATGTCGATTCGATGTCGATTCCATTATCATTTCTGACTGGGAAGATATCAAAATTTTTTTTCAATTTTTTGAGGGCACGTAACAGATCTACGAAGTGAGAAGAAAATGTTTTTCATTTTTTTCAGCTGATAGTTTTCTGTATGTAACAATTATCAAACTCACATAAATTCAGAAAATATAGTCAGTTTTTGGAAAGTAAAATTTTCAAACTTTAAAATCCTTTTTTAAATTTAAATTTTGTTTATTTTTTAATGAAGTTAAACGATTGCTCTTAACAGAAAAACATCATTTTAACGTTGTTCGTTTTATCTCTCGGGAGCTACTCGGAGTCGCTCCGAATGAAAACCCAGTGTACTTGAAATGTAAGATTCTATGTACGTCATTGACATCCGACCTTCATCGTAACAATGAATGTCAGATGTCGTATGACGGATGTCGTACGTAGTGCGAATCTTATTTTTCAGGTTCATTCGGAGCTCAGAAACAAAATCCCAGAAACAAAACAAACAATAATTTTATTTGTATCAACTTAGGTTGGGTAGGATAAAGTATCTAACCTTAATAGGATAAAAATACGCAGCGATTTACGTAGGTTCAAAATTAGACAGATTTTTCGAAGACTTACCGATGATCGGCCGATTGTTCAACTCTTCTTTAGTTTTCACGACTGTAAAGACAAATATTGTAAATAGAAACACCCATAGAGAGGTCATTATGAAGTATATATAATAAAATTGTAAAGTTTTCTTTCTAGAAACACAGTGAAAAAAACAATGTATACACTCTCGCTATTAGTTCAAAAATATGTTGAATAACAAGCTATCAAAGTCGACTTGATCACAAATGCTTCGAAATACTTTTTTTTTTTATTAATTAATTAGTAAAATTCTTTCGTCCGATTAATTAATTAAATACGTCGCAGTATTTGTAAAGTATCGTATTTTGCCAAGGGTGTGTTCTAAGAAACGTTATCAGTACAGCGTTATGTAATAACGTATATAATGTTTATGTAGCTTATGATCTCTAATGCTATCAACGCTGTTTATACAGCCAATTAGAATTCTAGATTTACGACAGCTGCGCGATGCAACTTCAATGTACATTTTTGCTATAATATACGTAACGTAACTTATAGCTTAGAGTTATCTGAGCGTAATTCCTAAACGCAGTCAAGCGCATATAATTGCTTTTTTTAGCGCTTTGTAAGCGCTGCTGTGCTACTTGGGTCGTAATTAGTAATGGTAAAAAAAAATGGTAAATTGTTTTTAAAAATTGTTTTTTGTCAAGAAATGAATGAATTTTTTCCGATTAAATAAAAATAATTTTATTTTCCTATGCTCTTATTTTTGAAAAGAAACATATATGAAAAAAAAACTTTAGTAAACGAATACTGTGTGCATGTGTGTAGTATGTATTGTATATTTTTACGTTTACGTATGATGTATGTATATGTATATTAATGCAAAATTTTTGATCTACAACATCCAGTAAAATGCGACTTTATCGATGTCGGAAAATAGTCTGTCGGACCACATCCACTGACGTTCTCCTATGATTTTATCGACAGGGTCAGAAAATGGATGTAGCCACGTAGTTCCCAAATGAAAACGAATGCATTGACGATAGTGTACGGGCGACTTTGACGATAACAGCGAAAAAGCTGATATGAGCTCTCTCTTCTCTCGGAAACTAATATGTGATTCATGGACTATTTCTGATATCAGAAAGTTATCAAAAAATTTATTTGTAATAGAGAAAGAGGACATAAGGGCCTTTTTCCTATAACCGCAAAATGCCTCTGCACACTATTGCCCTCTAAAGAAGTAGATGTAAATTACATGACAATATTTATTTTTTTTGCGGTGCTTCTGTTGAAAATAAATCGTTAAAATCTCTATTAATTTGACAGATTTCAGTTATTTTAGCTATTTCAGTGAATTATTTTCATGAGGAGTACTGCAAAGAAATGGATATTGTTGTGTAGTTGACATTCATTTCTTGAGAGGGCAATAGTGTGCAGAAGGCAATATGCTCTCATGTCTTCTCTCAAGTTTCGTTACACTTACAAATAAAGAGTTACTCATTTTTCCATTCGTTGCATTCGCATGCAATATTGAGTCAATATTAATTTTCAATATTGATTACAAAACGCAAGACATCTTTACAAATGCAAGCTAATATTGATGATTAATTTTATGCCAATATTGTATCTATGATTTGTACTGGGTTACACATTATTGCTTTAACGGTATTTCTACGGTGACTAAGAAATTCCTTTACTGCTTACGTCTTATTGGTTTGCATTTTTGCGTGCGGGAATGAGACTAGAGAGGCATATAGTAACATTTCATGAAATATTATTTTATCTCGGCAACAAATGAAGTCTGGGATTTGTTCAATTTTAGAAATAAAATTAAGAATAGAGAAATTATTAAGAATTCTCTTTAACAATTAGAGCAAGTAATTTTATAAGAAATATCCTTTTCGGAAGAAATATCCTTTTCCTACATGGAAGGACTACAATCGTGATGACATTGTACGATAATTCAAACGATGACGTAATCTCATTCCATCTTCCTCCGTCTCCATCGCCTACATTCTCCAACCTCCTACTTCAAGCCTACAGCATTTTTCTTGCGAGTTGCGTGACGTCCGCTAATCGAACAAGAAGTACAGAGGATATGCGATCTTTCCTTTTTCATCTCTTCTACACCCCACTCCCTCACTCACTCACTTTCACTCTTCTTTTTCCTTACATGTATGCTCACCGTCGTTTTTTTCCTTTCCTTCTCTTTCAACATTTATATATTTATTTATTGCTCCATATCTATTTTATCAATCATCTATTTTGATTATTTACGTACCGGTCGCAGCTGTTTCTTAGGCCTATTCACGTCGTATGAGCCTACAAGCTCCAATATGCTCCAATCACAATTCCTATTCACTCAAACGCGCTCATTAGAGTATATATGAGTAGAAAGGCCTGTTCTTTTTAGCTCAACTTCTTACAGTTCATTTGTTTTCTCCAACATGGAGAAAAAAGGAAAAAAGATGAACCCTGCAAGAACTTTATTTAACTAAAACGAACAGACCTGAAACATGGTAGGAGCATATTGGAGCACGTTGGAGCATGCGATCAAATCTTTGCCGTATCTTTTCTCTCGCATCCTTTTCGCTACCTTTTTTTATTCCACAAACATACTCTCAGTACGTTTCATTTGGCGCTTACACGCTCGCGACCATTATTTGTCCTTATTTAATATTTGACAAATAACACTATTACATAACAAGGATGAAATGATTCCATGAACGTTGCGAGCGTTAAGAACACACTCTGCGTAGAACATACAATTCTCTTTCTCCTTCTACCTTTATCCTTTTCCTTTCCTTTCCTTCAAAAGAGGCTCTCATGCAGAACTTCCTTCGCCTATCACTCCTACCAGTCTTCGATCGCCTCAAACTCGCTATGCCTTTTCTTCTTGAGATTTAAAATTGCAGCATGTCATCTCTCTCTCTCTTTCTCTCTCTCTCTCTCTCTCTTTCGCGCGATTGGTTACTCCATCTCCGTCCAATGCAATCATTTCTCTCGTTCGCTCTCTCCTTCGCACGCAGGGCGATCATTTATTTCTGTCTATAACTCAGCCGTTCCTTTCTCCCCTCTCACTCTCTTCTGCGCGCGCATCTCACGAAGAAGCACGAAGTACGCCGCGAACCGAAGCCGAACGAGCTATTCAGGTTCGAGTGCAGTCGAGTTTAGTCTCGAATCTCGCGTCGATTGTTACGGAATTGTTTCCGCGACGCGTCTTTTTGCCGTCCGTTCTCCGTTTGACCTATGGAGGCTCGTGGAACTAACAGGTGCAGTGAAGTGTCATAAATAAGAGAACAGAACAGAAAACGGGAAACGAACTTTGAGGAACGAGGGATAAAAGGATGGATGAAAAATACGCGACGCGGATGACTTTATTAAAATAATAATAGGCTTCTCCGATATTTATCAAATATTGCTATATCACAATTACAGCAATACACCTTACACATCTATTTATTAAATAGCACTCTACCCTCGGATGAACAAAAAAAAATAATTGAATAAAAACAATAAAGTAAAAGAAAATAAAATGAGAAATCGTATATAATATTTCTTCTATAATTGAGATTCTGACTGAGACGACTTTAAAATTCGAACGACTCGAAGGACACTCATCGTGCGTTCATCAGAGGATATCATTCGAAATCGCGGCGTTCGAAGGACGCCGCACGCGCGTTGTCTGTATAAACGATTCAGCTGATCGAGAGGAGGGTAATAAATAATTGACTTGTCGCGTCAAGTGTTTCTGAAAGGACGGCTGGAGTCGGGAAACTTCGATCGGGAAACTCGTCCGAGCTTACAAGAGAGACGCGGGTAAATCGTGAAATTCTCAAGAAAGCGCGATAAAGAAACGGAGGAAAGAGTAGTAATCCTTTTGGGATGTCGACGTACGGAAGGTGGACTCTGTGGCCGGCGAGGACGCGTTTTCGACACTTGACAAAATCATCGAGGATCCATCGCAGCTGAGATCACAGATGATCGATCGGACCGATTGATCGCGTTATCGCGCAGCTTTATTCGCTGATTCGACACTTTTCCAACACGTTCATTTCTAAAGTTGTCGCGAACGCGCGACAAAAAGAAAGGAATTTCGCTGTTAAGTTTCGCGACGCGGTGCGAGTAAGACCAAATTATTTTCGGGAGATTCAGAAAAAGTACAGCAGGTAAGAATCTTTATTATAATACTACTATTGTATCTAGGAACTTAAAATTAAATTTTATCATTCAATTAGATAGCATTTCAAAATGTGGGATGTCTTTTTAATTGTGAAATTTCTTGAAAATTATAAAAATAATAATATTGAGTAATTTAATTTATCGAGTATTATTCATTATGTTTAGAGTAAATAAACAACGCCAATAGAAACTTTGAAACTGTTCACTATTATGAAAAAAATATTAGACATCTGAAATATTTTTTTTTTATTAAAAAAAAGTTTTTTGAAGCCTTTGCATTTTTACCGTATATCCTATAGAAATGTATAGCTCATAAAAAAATTACAAATAATTCTTAGAAATAAATCGTGAAATGACACAGTAACTTACAAAATGTGTTTAAAGTTGTATTATAGAATAAGAATGATAAATATATACACATACAAAGTACAGATAATAATTCTAATCTTTTACACATATTACAAATGTTATAACATGAGGTACATTTTTCATGTAATGCATTTAAATGCGCTGAATTCAGTTTGCGCACTTTGTATGTTTTGTTTCATGTTGCATAAATTCCACTCGCTAAAAGTGTCGAATATTTCAAACAGATGGGATATACAAAACATCAAACTGAACAAAAAATGCGAGAACTAATCACTTGTGTTTTACTATGTTCCATCTTTTACTATCTTTTTGCACTTACGTATCACCAAATAACCGTTAAATTAATCTTTTGCTCTCTTTACAGTAATTTTCTTATGTAATATATGTTATACATATGATATACACGGCTGTGCTACTTACTATATTGATAAATATTGATAAATCAATTCAATTAAGTGGTTTTATCAATATTAACAGTAAAGATTGAAATTATAAGACATATAAAACACAGAGTGGTTGCATGTAATTACTTCCACTCCTTCTATTTTTTCTGATTTCTACAGCGTAGGCGAGGCGTAAATATTGGAGTTACCTTATATGAATTTAACAAATTATGATGCATTTTGTAATACGAATATTAATTCGACATCTATTGATGTGTTAGATACTTATATAATTATAAAAATGTATATTAAAAAAATGAAACAATTGATATGCTCAAATATTAAACTTTCGCTAAGTTTTAATTCGCTGATTTAGAAAATATTTTGACATTGTTTTCACTTTGTTATGTTGATCTTACGAATAGATCTCGCAGGCGTTACTTTAGAAAGTATTTTCTGATTGCATAATTTTATCAGGTTTAAATAAATATTAGACCTCAGTTTTCTCTCAATTACAAAAAGATGGCGCTATTTCTTCACGTGAACAATTTCTCGCGATGGTTACGTTGGCGGATATTCAAGGCCGGCGCTTGCAATGTTGTAATAGTTTCTTCGCGATTCTCAATTAGTACAATACAATTAAAATACAAAATATAAAATAATACTCTCTACATACTTCAATAGAGTTAAAAAATAATGAGGATAAATTTTTTATTTCTATCAATGTACTAATTTAATTTCAAATCCGATGCACATTATAATGTGCATATTTTCTCAAAATTTTGATACTACACACAGCATTTTAAATCTTCATTTCTCTTCAAACTATACTTTTGTTATAAATTGTCGTCTGATCTAAAATCTAAAATCTATTTCTTCTATTTTACATTAAATTATTTTTATCAAATCGAAAAAGCAATTATTATTTGAATTGATCAACAACAATTTTGATAACATTTAGCATATTCTTCGACATAATAAAAGTAGTTTTGTAAAATTATTAATAGCTTTCTTATGTAAATTAATATCTGAAAAATCCGTCATAATGAATTGATTACTAAATGAATAATATTAATTTTATAATCATTTTAAATGAATATTACGCAACGAGAACGAGCTCAAGGCTTTGTTTAGCTGTTCATCGCGCTCATCTCATTGTGGGCGGACGTTAACCAAATATGCAAATATTAAGACACAAATCATTAGTACTGTGACGCCGTGTCGTATGAATATTTCAAAATTATGAATATGAGAAGCAATCTCAGAATGGACTGTAGTATGCAACAAAATAATTGTAAATTTAATTTATTTTCTAAATATACACGATTTCTAGTGTTGAGTTTTAAAATTTATAATTATTTTTCCGCAATTATTATATGTAGAAAAATTTAATTCATATGAATGGTACAAGAAGAAAATATGCAGATTATCATCGTCATAGAGCCACAATATTGAACTCTCCTTTGTTTTACAAAAGTGCTTTGATATGCAGGCATCGAAGTCTCCGATGATTTTAATGCTCGGTACCACATTTCACTATAGATAGGTATTTAAACTATTCATACATTAATATTCATTAATTTATTATTCATTAATTAATCATTTCATTTTTACTGATTTTTTAATTATATTATTACATAATTTATCAATATTGTTATTTAAATTGTAATTATTATTAAGTAATATTTATTTGGTCCATTTCGAATTATAACGTTTATGAACAATAAAAGAATATTAGAATGTGAATATAAGGGTGAGGAAATATACTAGATTTATTTTACATTTTTGTTAGAAACAAGTACGCATATTCATGATGCTATATCTTATACATTGTTGCAAAATTATAATCTTTTTCTGTATAAGCTTTTTTTTTTTAGAAGACACTTTCTCGGAATCCGATCGGATATCCGGAAAATGTCGGAAATCCGACTCGAAGAAATTGCCTTCTTGGATATCCGATCGAATACCGGATATCCGGTATCTGGTAATTTTACGATCCGGTGCATCCCTATAAATTACCATTATTTTCTTCGTAATTTTTTAATGGAGAGAAGAACATTTGTGTGTGTGAAATTGTTCCCACGTAAATTATTCGGTAGATTATTCTTGAATTTTTCGATTAGTATTCTCTTCCGTATACGAATCGGCACTTTAAATCACCTGCGCGACAACTGTTTCCGCTGCCAGAACCCAGAACACCTGTTCTGTATTCGTTACTCAAATCATTCAACCTTGTTGATATACGACTATCGATATAATGTGTAAGGTGTATATCCATATTTTTCGACTTTTCAATTTTTCCGCCAATTTACTCAGAATGATTCTAATTTACAAAAAAGTAAAAAACCAAATTTCAACTCGATCGAATAGCGGGAATCCATACCGATGGCTTATTAAAGTGATTCTTTAGTAAATTGAATTACCTCATAGAAACGTCTAATTTTTTTATATAATGAAATTAAAGTACCGAATTTAACGTGTGTAAAATTCTAAGGTAGATTAACGATGAAATAAGAGAAGAAAAGAATGTTGAAAGTGTAACTTTTAACGTATAACTTGACAGACTCGGATAAGGATCGGGGACGCTTCTTTGAGTAACTGCACGCAAATATTATCATAGACTT